TTGTGAGCAAATTGGGTACTGAAAATCATCGAGTTGGGATTATCGGTGATGGTATCAGCGACATAGGTGCTGGTATCAGCGGCATAAACTGCTGCTAAACAGTTCTCCATCATCCCATCATTCTCGAGGCCACTCATTTAATAGGTGGCGTTTGGAAACATTGTTCATTCGCTTCCACCAAGCTCCTAACCCCTAGGTGCGATTTCGAGTTCTCCGACTATCCTTGGCCCGAAAGGGACAATTCGAGTTTCCCTTCTTTCCTCAAGATCCTGGAGTACTGCACGGTTACGCTACGCACTTTGATGTGTTGAAGTACGTGAGGTTCGGTTCGAAAGTCGTCGAGATCCGTTACGTCGGTGACGGATTAACTGCAAATTCGGATGGTCCCGGAGACTTTGAACCTCTTTTGAGTGGCCACCCTGCCTGGGAAGTCGCTGTGGAAACATATCCATCGAAAACTGTTGAGGTTGTTCTTTAAAAAATATCACTAATTTGATTTGCACCAAATTAACTTGTGATGGAATTAACGAAAATAACACTACAGTGCATGCAGTTAGGGATAGGGTGAGGTTCTGGTTGGGACAATACCTTAAAATTTTATAAGTTTACCTCTAATATAACCCTTTATCTTTGCTTGCAGTGGTATGAGTTCGAATTACTGGTGGTATGCATAGGCAAATACGGGGACATACCGAGAATGCCGTCTTCCCTCATAACAAAGGCCGAGAAATTTACGGCGGCAAAGTTATGCACACGATCGAGTATTCCAAGTTGGATAAAGAAGCCCGCGAGGTTGTTGAAAGGCAAGAAAGTCTCCGTCGTTGGCTACAGAAATCCACCATAGATTTAGCTACTGAATGTGCTGAGGCAAACCAAGGTATATGCATAGACATATGCATGCTTAATTATAAAATGCACGTGGTCAACAAATAGAAAGAATAATAAAAAGTCAACTAAGGATTTAAGTGTTTCTCACATGCATATATATATATATATATCTACCTAGGAAAGTAACAACAGCTAACTACTAACCTCACCATTGTGTCGTCTTTTTGTTTCCAAAATCAGTCGCTTAGTTGAACTTAACTTCATAAATAGTCATAAAATGCATTCTAGACAGTAAACTTTTAGTATCTTGACGTGTTTTGGTTATACTGTATTTTTTTTATAAAAAATAGGAGCAGATGGTCAACCTTGTACAATGGTGACAAGGACTTTACATTGGACTTTTCCATGTTACTGGATTTGGGGTTTGTCCTTTCCATGTTTATTCAACAAGGTCTTCTCAGTTTCTCCATCGCAGACCAAACCAAGTGCTGCTCAGGAATTTGCTTTGCCCTCTTTTGTCTGGTAATACTTTGTTTTTATATTTATTACCGAGTTACATTGCTGCAGTTATTTTTGATCAAATTATGGTGTTGGTCCATCTACTATGTTTAAACTTGGGAATTAGTCCTGTATTTTAATTTTTGATATAATTAACTCCTTAATTTTAAACATCATTAGTATTTCAAATACTTACAAACAGCTAAATGTTACCTATTCCTGTAAAATAAAGTTGCTATTTTTCTTAAAATGACTTCTAATTTATCATGCTGCTAGCATGGATATATATTTTTGTTTAATGAGAAAAATCTAAATTAAATTTTTAACCGAAATATTTAACTGTGTTAACTATTTGACCAACTAACAACATTATAAAAATAAATGGTTAAATCATGTCAAATTGAAATACATAGACAAAATCTGAAATTTGAGCATAGTAGGGACCAAACCAAATTTGACTGTATTTTTTTATGCAACTAATTTGCTTGGTTTCCTTTTACTGAAGAAAAAGCAGTTTCGAAGTTCATAGAGTCGTATTTGGTTTGGAAGCTCCACTAATGAAGTATGGCCTGAAACCCGATCATCCCTTCGAAGAAGATTATGCATCATGCCAAATGGCCATTCTACCAGACAATTTCTTCTCAGAGGCGGACAAGGGCAAAATCATGTTCAAAAAGACACCCAAATGGTGGTTTTGGAGCAAAGGATTCGAATTCGAAGACAACTCCAAGCTCGAAGCCGATGTCGTCCTACTCGCCACCGGCTTCGACGGCAAGAAGAAGATCCAGGATTTACTGCCACAACCTTTCTCGAGCCTCGTAGTCGACTCGTCGGGGATCATGCCTTTATATAGGGGCACAATCCATCCGTTGATCCCGACATGGCGTTCGTGGGGTACATCGAGAGCGTTTCGAATCTGCAGACGCGGAGCTGAGGTGCAAATGGCTGTCGAGGCTGGCTGATGAATTGTTCAAGCTTCCGAGCATCGAAAGAATGCTGGAACAACCGGGGAAGAAATGGAGATCATGAAGAGAACGACTCGGTTCTACAAGAGGCATTGCATTTCGACTTTTAGTATTAATCACAGTGATGAGATTTGTGCAGAGATGGGGTGGAAGTCTTGGAGGAAGAACAATTAGTTGTTGGAAGCTTTTGCTCCTAATAACAGTCAAGATTATGGGGAAGACAAATAAAAACATTGGATTGTTATTGTTATATTCTTATATGCATTCCTTATTAACTAGACACCATCATGTATAAATTTATATGATGACTGCATTAAATAAAATGTTAATTTTTGTGTTCTGAAAAATAAGAATATTAAAATTTATATGAATTTTTTTATTATAACTGAATGCAAAGAAGTTTGATATTATAAAGAATCTTATTTAATATGAATTTATACTTCCAGTCAAAAGTTAAGATGAGAAGTATTATTACTAACTAAATTGCACCTCGAGTTAGTTCGTAAGTATTTCTTCTACTAAGTAGACGTACACCGTATCTATACTTCTTAAGTCAAATCAAAATGAAATTAAGGTCACAAACTCTAACATCACAATAAATAAACTTTAATTATGAGAATTTTTTTAGTATAAAATCAAAAAACGTCCCTAATACTTGACTAAATAATCACTTTAGTCCATTTTTTCAACATTTTAACTCAATGTTCTTTTTGAGAAAAATGCCTTAAGTCGAATGAAAATTGTAATTTGATAACAATAAATTTTTATCTTTAACATGGTAAGTCTATATATCAGAGCGATGACATAATAATATCTTTGTAAAAGTGATAACTTAAAACATGTTAGTTCTCACTTTAGATATATATAGGATTGGAAAAACAATGACCGTTAATAAATTGATGGTTTCTATCAAACCATAAATATTCAAATGTGAACAAGCATTTGCATTACTAAAGTGGGGGGTTGGCAGGGAAGGAATCTTGGCAAGTTGGGTCTTCATAGAAAAAATAAATAAATTAAAGAGGAATGCAAATGCTTGTTCACATTTTGAATATTTTTCTATGAAGACCCAACTTGCCAAGATTCCAATGTTATAATTTTATCTTGGGGGTTAAAGATGAAATTATAAAATTTAATGATCACAGATAAAAATATTTGTGTTAAAAGGATTTGTCTCAAATTAAAATATATATGAACAGATTTAAAGTCGATAAAATAAAATAAAATTTCAAGCATTCCTCGTCATCTTCGAATAAAATGAAGGTTTCATTGACTGGGCGACGAATCAATGATTGGGATATTGACAACAACATTAGTAATAAGATTCCTTCCCCTGCCAAACATTGTTTGTAAAGTTTCATTAAATTTAAATACGTGAAATTTTAATATTCAAAGGTTTGATTTAAAATAAAGTCCAATTGATAGCATATTCAAGATTAATGATATTATCGATTAGGCTATATTAATTTTTAACTCAGACAAATATAGGGAATAGATTCTGAAATAAAAACATGGACTAAATTTCAAGATGTGAAGAATGCAGGGACTAAAGGCATAATTAACCTTCGATTAATTAAAATCTTAATCAATCCTTGTCAATTAAGCCAGCCAATGCCAATCCCATCAATTTCTCCAATGTCCATGCTGTGAATCACAACTATACAATCAACAACACACAGGGAAAAAAATGTGAACTCATTAAATCTATATAATTTCATACGGCATCGTGTTGATCTTGTTAAAAGTTATTCGAACAAATAATTAAATTATTAATAATTAATTGATTTTTTATTTTGTTTTTAATATATAATGGTATAAACTTTAATTTATATAATTGCATATCAAAAAGTATTCAAGTCTATATACATAATAAAACCTAAATTAGATTAAATATAAACCGAAAACACAGAGACTCAAATAAAAACAAAAACATTAACATTAACAATATGAAGATACCATTTCATTTTTAATTTTCTTTTAGCTAAAATCACCTTTGGACTAATTTAATACACCATGCTCTATGAGAAAAGTCCATGGTTTAAGTTTGAATGGGCCATCTTTTGGGCTCTTAGAGCGATAAAATTTTGGCAAGGATGAAGGTGGCATCTATTGGATCCAGCTTTATTATGTTTAATAGAAAACGAGGCAAATTGACCATTTGGTTAAAATGAGGTAAATTACTTTTTACTTTTTTAACTTCTTGTCTTTGAAATTTTGGATACTATTACTTACTTGGTCAGGCAGAACCCTGGAAGCAGGTATCTGGGAAAAGATCATTGAAATGCTGCCCGAGACGGTGTCATTTGCATTTAACCAGGCAGGGAATTCCATGACTTGATCAAATTCATTCCCGTGTTCCATAGTCTTCAAGAACTTGAACACCGTGCGATGTTACCAAATTCATAGTGTCATTCCACTCCATTTGATGCTGCTCTCCTAATGATTTCATCTCCGCCATTCCCTCATCGTCCACAGCTTGATGCAAGCTTCCCCCACCGTAGGATTCAGTGAATCAGCCCCAGTTCCATGCCTCACTTCATGATACTGCAACCGCAGGGACATCTTCAGTCACAACTGATAGAGTTGATGAAGATGAAGATGAGGATGAAGTAGATGAGTAGATTGATGGGTTTTTGCTGTTCTGGGTGAAGGTTGGTCTTTATTTTGTGAAACCATGAAAGTTAAGGTTTTGGCTCTGTAAACTGCAGTTCAAAAATGGCCAAGTATAGGTAGGCACGTTGTTTGTGTTTGATTCTTGCTCGAAAGGTGGTGAAAAGAAGGATGAGAGTGGCGTGATAATTGCTGTTGCTGTTGCTTCTCATTGGCTTGTTTCTTGGCAGCTCTATGGAACTTGAGCTCAGTGACAATTTCTCTCCTGGCTTCAGCCATATTAATCAGCCTTTCTTGGTAAGGCCTGCTGGTGTGCACTCTCCTCCTATTCCTAACCTGTTTCCTATGTTGTTGAGGTGGTGGTTCGGGTTTCTGGCTCTGTGGTGTTTGACTAAAACCATCACCAAATTTGGTCAAATTTCGGGCACTGAAACCATTGGTATCAACGGATACAGGGTCTTGGTACATCTGCAAGGCGAGTTGCCTAACCAGGATACGGATATAAGCACCAGAGAGATGAGGCTCCTGCTCGAATCTTCTCCTTCTATCAACCCCTTGCTTGGAAGATCGATCCTTCGTATCTAAACTTTTCATCTTTGGATTTTTTTTTCTAATCTCAAACGTTCTGAAACAAAGTACACAGATTCAGAGAGAAAGGGTGCAGGCGGTGCAGGAGACTGAAGTTCCACCAAGTGGTGTTAAAATACAAGCTAGGGATGACCTAGGTTCTTAAATTGTTTGGATTTTTCCTAGTTTTGGCTATTAACATTTGTCACCCTTCATATTACAAGCTTCAAATGGGGCAGTTAGGCTTTGGGTTGGGACTCTCCTTTATTAAATTGTCCCTCCTTTTCAACTACACATATTTACAAGAAGCTTGCATGTGTAACTATTTCATGCCAGCAGGCTGCAAGATTAACATTACACAGGGTTTCTTATGCTGTACTTGCATGTTTAAAATCTACAAAAGAAACAACAGAAATAAAATAAAATAAAATATTGTGATGAATTTGGATACTAAATTTTATTACGTTGAAGGATTTGATTGTTTGTTCCTGGTTATGAAAGGGGACAAGATCTGAATTTCTCAGGCAGGGTTCAGCAAATGGTTTGGTAATTGGATTGATATTTCAGCTTGTAAATTCTTGTGTTTTTACCTGTAATATATGAACTCACAATAGTAAAAGACGAGACAGACAGAAGAATCTCCATTCCTGTCGAAACTGGACAAGATTTTTGGACCTGGAGAAAGGATACAGGGATGCTCCATACCATCGTCTCTCATCATCAATCATTTACCTGGAGAAAGAGATTTACTACTGCATGAATGTAGAATTCACCCTTTGGTTTTATGTATTAAACTTCAACTGTTGTCAATGGAGCAAATGTTGCGCTTTTGCTGTATCTCATGCATGGTCATCTGTAACAGTTATTTCTCTTGGTTTCTCTTTGTAAACGGGAAATCCCCTTGCATGGAAAGTTGGCCGTTCGAAGCAACGGTAGTTCGGCGAGGGAATTGTTTTCACATAAGATTATTAATGTACAACCTGTTAGTGTTTACTTTCACGTCAAAATCAATAAAATAATAAAAATCATCCCTTTTTCACTGATTTAAATAACTCGAGGCGGTAGAATTGAAGATTCAAAGGGTTAAAAATGGGGGAGGGGGACCGCCTACAAAACAGACGGACATGATGACGTTTGTAATTTAACCTTCGTAGAATTTTTTATTCAATGACAGAATAATGATATTTTGAAAAAAAATAAAATTTAAGGGCATTTTAGTCCAAAATGCCGGTAATGTTACAATACCTAAGGGAAGAGGTAATGACATTCCCGGTAATATACCCCAAAAATCCACTATTGGTAATAAAACTTACCGGAAATGACATTACCGGCCAAACCAAACGGGGGAATGTGGATTCTATTCCCGAAGGAATCCCACATTCTCCCATCCAAACGCCCCCTTATTTACTTTCACGTCAAAAATCAATAAAAATCATCCCTTTTTTCACTGATTTAAATAACTCGAGGCGGTAGAATTGAAGATTCAAAATGGGGGAGGGAGGGACCGCCTACAAAAGACAGACGGACATGATGTGACGGCTCAAAATCGCACGGCTGTATTTTTCCCACTGAATGGAGGTTAGTGGGAGGGGAACCATTTTCTGACAAATGGATGCAACGCGGCAGATTCATGAGCCTCCGAGTCGATGCGCGTTGGCACGTGGGAATGCACGGAAAAGGGACGATGACAACTGGCGACCGCCGAGAAAAAGCTTGCACCTTTATATCCCTTCACGCCTCCGTTCACTATTGTCGCATTTTGAACGACGGTGGAATTAATTTTGGATAGAAAACGAAAATAACGTGATTATATTATAAAAAATAATTTACCTCAAATTAAAATTAATTAAGTATATAAATTTATGTAGAAAAGAATTATAAAAATAATATTCGAAATCTAGAGAAGAGACCATGATAATGCAGCCCCCTCTCGGCTCTCACATTCATTTTCATCTCCATTTTAACTTCCAAATGTCCAAATTGTAAGGTCACTTTCAGCCATAACTGCGGTGGAGTTGATGGCGGTGGGACCATTTCAATTTATCAACCTGCCACCAACAAACACACACAAAAACCCCAAGACAAGAGTGCGGACCACAGCAGAACAGCATGTTAATTTCTGGACCCCTTTATATTATATCCATACGCGTGTGTATATATATAGCTCTGGTTATGGTTTTGAATCACGACAAGTTGCAGCCAAGGAGAACCCACCATCACCAATCCAATTCTATGTCAAACCACCGTCTCTCTAAATATGAAGGGCGAACAGATAATTTCCCTTCTTCACCCTTTTTTCCACTTGAATGCAACCACATGATAGGAGCTTACAAATCTGTTGTTGACATGCATGCGTGCATGCTGCTACATACATTTTTGACATGAATGAGTGCTACATACATTGTTGGCATGCATGAGTGCATGCTGCTAGCCTGCTACATACACGGTCCATATAATGGATCAGCATAAGCAGACATCGAACATCCATGGAAGTGACCGCCCTATTCTAAAACTTACTAAAAACCAAAACCAAACATTGTAATCATCATTAGATCTGCATGTAACTCCCCGAACACTTTCTGAATCGTCTTCGACAATGTCTATTTATATCTGCAACTCTCGAGTGTTTCTTCATAAATTCAATACTGGTAAAACGGTATCTCTCATTTATCTGAGACTGCATTTCCGATTCAAGTTAGTCGATCAAGCTTCAAATGGCCGCTTTTGCTTCAATCCCAGCATGTCATTGGCCAGCCCTGCTACAATTTCATTAGGCAAGGGATACTTTTCAGCACAAAAGCTTCGCCACCACTGTAAGCCATTACCTCTTTCTGAATTAATACAATGTGAATCGAGACGATCGAGTTGAATCGAGTTTCTATTGCAGAGAGGTCCCGTTGTATGTAATGGATTAAAGCTTATTCCAAATATTCAATTCTCAAAGCAGACAAACAAGTTTTCTACTCGATCTAGCTGCTTCAAGACACCAGTTTCATGCTCTCTTGTAAGGAACATAGCCTCATTGTTTTATTTATTTTTTCCCATTGGAACTTTATTTAAGCTCATTATCTTTGATACATATTGGATTTTCCGACTAGGCTGATCCTGAGACATTGACAACTGTCCAAAACACCATCGCTAAGCAGTTGTCTATCGATGTGAGCTCAGTGACTCCTGAAACCAAGTTCGCTGATCTGGGTGCCGATTCCCTAGACACGGTATTTGCATCTCTTCAAGACAAATTCCACATTTATTTTCTTCATACAATCCTTTTTTTTTATTTTCTTACATCAAATTCATTTCAGGGAGATAGTGATGGCATTGGAGGAACAATTCGGAGTCTCGGTCGGAGAAGGCGGAGCTGAGAACATAGCAACCGTCCAAGATGCGGCGGACTTGATCGAGAAAGTGAAGGCTGCATAATAGGCCACTTACAGGAGTTCTTTTCTTCCTTTCCATTTTCCTTGACCAAGAGGGCAATTTTTGTTACAGGTTGATCTCAAATTGTAGCCCGTCTCTTTGTTCTTTTCTGTTTCATGCAAGCAAGAACGAAAGTAATAAGCCAATGAAATATATGCATGAATCAATTTGAGCTGTGTTTCTAGATATGCAACTTCCAGCTTCTTCTCCAGTTAAAATCTGGCAGAAAATCGAAGCTTCAGAAAAATATAAACAGATCATTATCTAACCAACAAAGCTCATTGAGCTTGTCCAACTCCTTGTTCCCCAATAATCTCATTATATTTTCAATAAACTGTGCCTGTCATGGAATCAACTTACTGTCGAATTTTCGGCAATTACTCTTCAAAACGTCTGGACTAATCAGAAATTCTTATAGACAGCACTGTAAGTTTCCTCTATGAAAGAGTCTCAAGTCCCTGAGCAATAGCATCTGCCGGAGTCGATACTAACATGGTCGCCATTTCGGTTTCCGATGAGGCAAAGTAAATATAAGTTCAAGGTTTCCTATCGTTATGAACATGGAAACTCAACGTATCCATGCTCTCCACAGTCCACCCAGCCAAATAAATACATATAGAAAGTGAGGGACAGAAGGATGAACAAAGGGAAGCAGAAAAAGAGGAACTTCTGTATGTCATACCGGCACATGGTTTTATACCGATAGAATCCAATATCCCTTCGAGGAGTCCAGTTTCACAATTGTGTCAGATTCGAACTTGATCTACAGAGAGATTGAACTTTGCAAAGGGGCCTTATATTTATTCCACAATGAAAGGGACAAAAATGCGTACTTGTTAGTAACTTCGGGGACAGCTCGAAGGAAAGCACTACCTACGAAGTTGATGATTGCACAAGTTTTCTTGTTTCCAAATGGGGTATGATCAAGCAAGAATCCAACCTATGTATCCTATTAAGGGTGTTATTATTGTAATTTGACATGGAGGCAGCATTGTTGATGAACCCGGAGCTGCTTCCTTGGCAATTAAAGCCATTGGAAAAACCGGGGAATCGGAGGTGAATGTTCGGAAAATTGGTTCTTTTAGGATACTTGTAAGAGTGGGGAGTTGAGGTGTGAGATTCTTCGGACAAAGCAAGTTAGTTGTGTGCGCCTGAGATTGAAGACGTAGCTAACTCCATTACGTGCTTTGTTAAAAAAAGGTTTGCTGGTAGAAAATATGAAGAACCAGTTTTGCGGGAAAATCACTAAAATCTTGATGTTTGATTAATGGCCGTAGGAAATGACAAACTTTGGAAATATATGCTCATCATTAAGCCATGATCATTCAAATAAGGTTAGGACTTCAAATCGCTCAATCATTCGAACAAATCAGGAGTTTGAATCATAATATTGTAAATGGAACAAATTGATTTTAAGAGAATAGTCCTCTAATAAACATCAACAATGCCCAATTCAGACTATTCAATCAACGGATCGATATCAATGGTTATATATATACATATAAAACCATATCATGTCAAACCCATTAGACATATATTATCAGAATCTTTATTATACCACTTAGTCATGTATAAATACATTAATGAAATATCGTTGACATTGAGTATAAATTCAATAAGACCAGTGATCGACACAATTACACATACATGTATTCACCACCACGAACAGCATTTTCAGCACCTTTTCTCTCTTCTTCAGCCCCTTTTCCCGCTCCTTCCAGCTCTCATAATCATGGTCGTCCGTTTGCAACTCGTATCTACAAATCGGGCAAGAATTGTGCTCGTCCTGCCACGGAAACCATTTTAATCACATAACCAACAACCTCATTTCATCCACGTTCTTTAAAACTAGGATTGAGTATAACTAATCAAATAAAGCCAAGCACTATTAATTACCAGCCATGGCTTTAAACAAGGAGATGAAATGTGCTTGCATGGCAATTCTTGCATGTTATCGCCGGCAGCAAGGTTCTCCTTGCATATTGCGCATTCTGCATCAGATCCAAGCTTAGCCAGGATTTCTTCTGTGAGAGTAATTACTGGAAGCTTAGCAACGACTTCTTTACTAGCTGGTGGGACTCTTCGAACACCACCCTCATTCTCCAATATCTTGAAAACAGAGATTAATTCATTTACAGAATTACAAAAGCTAAACTACTTCTATGAATTAGTATAATCCATCTAGCAGATAACAAAAAATACCTCTGGTATAACAGTATCAAGGTGACTAATGAGTTGTTCAAGCACATTGGCAGCATTTTCTATGGTGTTAACATTAGTGGCCGAACCCTGGGAAGATTCAGCATTTGCAGCAGATGCAAAAGCAGTCATTAGATTTGATTGGACCAACCATTGAGGTTGTGGTGGTTCAGTATCCACTGTAAGTGTCCTTCAAAAAGATAACCTTTTTGGGAAAACAAACAATACAAAACAGAAACCTTTTTAAACAATATGCAAGTTGAACATTTGCAATTTCTGTAAAATCTAATCAGCAAACCTACTCAAAACCCCAATCTGTTTATTATTTGCAATAATCCGAGTATAACTATCCAAATCCGAATCGAAATTAATTAAATTATCCTCGGAACATCAATCTCCTATCAAAATCCACATGTCCAAAACTAAAGAAGATAATGGATTTGAATGTCCGAATTCGTTATCATCAAAAGTAATTTAGATAATGTATATCCAAATCCCATTCTGTAATCTATAGAGGTAAAGTGAATTAGAATAATGGATGTATGGAAGTTAATATCATAATCTTCTCCAAAGTCATTACACATAGTAATTAGAATATCCAAATCAAGCAAGTTGAATATATGCAAATATCTTAATCCGAACCATCCTACATTTCAATGTCTCTAAACTACTTAAGAAACTAGAAAAAGCAACGGGTTCTTTCGGAAACAAACCTCTGTTTGCTGAAGATTCGGATGACTCGACGGGGTTTTCAATTTCATTCAAGTGTTCCTTAGCCTGAGATGCATTTCCTTAAATGGTCCTTTTCATAAGGATCAGAGACAAGAGGTTCTAAGAGTTCAAAAAGGCGTAAACCAGCAAGCCAGAAACCGGGGGCGGTGTATCTGGTCTTCAAAATGGTCGCAACACGGCAAACAACAGAATAAAACTGACGAAAAACAACGATAATACGTACAAAAAATCAATTTCGGCTTGAAATTAAAACAGAAAAAAAAAAGATGAATAAAGGAAAAGAGATCTCACCGATTTGCGAAGCGAGGGAGCAGCAGAAGGGTAATGGAGCTTAAGAAGGGAATTGATGGAGGAAACTGCTGCCTCGAATCTCTGTTTCTTTCCAAGCTGTTTCTGTAATTCCTCTAATTGTTGCTTCAAGCTTTCATCTGAAGAAGAATAAGACTCCATTTTTCAGCTCCGAAACTAATAATTGCTAAAAAAATATACAGCTATCGATTTTCAGATGATTGAATTGGTTTCTTTTATAAGTTTGGGGCAATAATAATTCTGATTCGAATTTTGTATTTAAGAGCAGATTTCTTGGTGAAGGGAACAATGATTGATGGATGTCGGCTATCGAGCCCAATGCTACCTGGATGGCCCGGTTCAATCTTAAATGGCCGGGTCTACTTCCTTCTATTTTTTTCCCGTAAACTACTACTGTCATTTTTTTCAAAAGTGTTCACCTTTAATCATTAATTTTTTTTAAAATAAATAATATTTTGATCATTTACTATATCAATTTGTAGACACATAATTTCGTCTCCACACTTTTATAATATATAAATATTAGTATTAATTTTACTTATTTTTATTGTTTACATATGTCAGGCCTAAACAAGTGGCCCAGAACTAGTACAAACAGACCAGATAGGCCCATAACCCAGCTGCCCAACACTTGCACGTGACCCGTTGGAGCTGTAACCTGAACCAGTCCATTGGAGCGACCCGAATCAGTTAGGTTTTTGAAACCCTAACCCCAATAACCTTTGGCATCGCATGTTCACTCCGAAGACCCCTTCTGAAGAGCTCCCACATGGTCGGTTTTCTCGGCGTCGTGACCTCATGGGACACCCAAAATAGCTAAATCAGAACATGGGCTCGTCAACACCAAACAACCGAGAGTTTTACTCGGAACAAAACTCCTAAGAATAGGTTTTATTTCTACTATAAATCATGTGTAAAATCACACAGAAAGAGGACGAAAAAAGAGAGGAAAATCATACGAAAAAAGGGAGCAAACACGACGAGGAAAACTAGAAAAAAAGATTCGAACCCAAACAGATTCGAACAAAAAAAAAAGAGAAACCATCAAGAGCAAAAAATCGGAGTGCTATTCGAACAAAGGAGATCTAGGGTAAAAAAGATAAACGAGGTTCAAGTTTCCTTACCCTATTCGACGGGATTCGGTGCCAAAAAGAGCCTGGGTGCTCCATTTCTTGTGCATTGAGTCCCCGATGATGAACCCAAGAGGATCCCAGGAGATGGGTTTTACCAGAGAACATTTTCTCTGTTTTATAAGTGTGCGGGACAAGGAATGAAGAGGTAAAACGTGGGCTAAAACTAAACCCTATTTTGGGCTGAATAGGCAAACGACAATGTTTTAAGAGGGAGGAATCTGCGCATAAAAGAAAATGGTAAATTCCATGCTTGGTCATTCCTTGTATAAACAACTATGCGTGTTTTGTTTTCAACTTTTGAGGTGGGGAAAATCATTAGTTTAAGACCCTTATCTTTGTAACATTGTCCTTTGGTCACTGAATAATGCATTATTTTCATTTCGTGTTTCAAATATTGTTTGTATGTTCTTTGATCATTGTTTCAATATTGGATATTTTAGATTTAATTATATTTAAATCCTCCATGTGTCTGTGTTTATTTTTTGGTACTTTATTTTCTTTCCTCTTTGATTTATTTATTATGTTTATTATTTATTTATTTTTTGATTTATTTTCTTTTTTCTCTCTTTTTATTTATTCTTTATCTTTTTTCCTTTTGATTTATTTTATCATTTTATCATTTTTATTTTTTATTTTTTACATTTTT